CCTATCTGAGGAATAAATATACTTTCAAAAACATGACTAAAGTTCCTCCTTGCCAGCTTCAAAGCCACCAACGCTTGTCAATCTAGATATCTTGTCACTTAGCATCTGTAGTATGGATAGGGATAATATTATTTATTTCAAAAATGGCAAGTATGTATGATACAATGTATGAACATATGGTATGGCTCTCATAGTCGCTGTAGTGGTTCAGGAAAGATTGATGAAATGAAGTGGTCAGTAAATTCCCGTTTGAAGCTTGTAGCATTTGAAAAATTTGAATGTGTTTATTCGTGCATTCGTCACCTACAGCTTTGCGTGCGCAATGTATATCATATCCGTCGCATTCTGTAGTTATTATAATGTAGTTGGAAAACCCATGTTTCACAAAATTCTGTGTTGGAGCTGCATCGGCCGAGGATCAGAGCTTTCGTGATGGTCGGAGAAGGGCTTCGGATTAGGTAGGCCTGTAAGTCCTGTAAGTCTGGCTAGATGATTAAGTTTCGGAGTCCAGTGCTGTTTCACAAAATTCTTGCACTCGACAGCTACATTCTGGTATTTACCAACTCGTTCTGCCATCTTACCGCACAACTCCATATTGCTCATAAATTCAGTGAAGTAATATGATTGACCTGCCTTGGATTTTGCAGATTTTGCAGCAATGCTGAGAAGCCACATAAACATCTGTCTAACCCTGGGTGTGGCGGCTAATTCTAGCAGTCTTCCTCTCGCTGATTACGACATGTGTTGCAGACGGTCCACCCCCGACTTCAAAGTTTTGTCAATTTGCGCTTGCAAAATAGCCACTATATGTGTTGTACATGGTTGCTCTATCCATATTCATGATCACATATGGAAAATTCATCATCCTTGCACTCCTAAATGTGGCAGTTTGAATGTTGCCAGCACCAAATCCGGTATTACAAGGCATCGAACCATGAGCATGCTGCAACTAAGTCTTTCTGAATACACTACGAGTCTAGGAAGAGTCGCTTAATTACCCAGTGAAAAAGCTAATCGCTACTACATTCAAGCGAGAGAACGTAGCCTAAAATATCGGCTAGCCTTGTATTCCAATTTCCTTACAGTGAGATTAGAGGGTATTTATTATTATAAATTAGATTGTTGTTATCCTTGTTGTCGCGCAGATGAATAAGTGAGTCGAGCACTTTGTTAGCGTGCAATGTGGTAGTCTTTAAATAAAGTGCAAATGTGTCCAAAGAATGGTGCGTTCGAATGAATTTATTGATCTCACCCTCAGTTATATACTGCAGTTATATACTGATGGTGTTTATACTAGTGTTCAATCACTTGGGATGGCCAGGGTAAAAACTCATATGATCAGTATAAGAAACCTTATGCAGAACACTTTAGCACTCGAATATATTTTCTAAAAATAAATATATCATATTCTCTGTTACGTACACTTAGTCTTGGACCTCGGCTCTCGGCTAGCCGGTGGTCCGTGTCCTATAAATAGAATAGTCTGAGAAAAAGTCTCAAATTACTCTTACGTTCTCTCAGGCTGACCCACCTATACGTACATTAATTTGAGAACAAGCCCTAAATTACTCTCGGGCTGACGACGTAAAACGTTATTAACGTATATATAAATATGTCTACTTCTGTAGTCTCTCACACTTTGCACCACTGTGGCAGTATAAGGAACAGCAGTTTGATCTGGCGTTTCCATGGCATGAATAAGAATAAGTTCAAAAATAATCCGACGTACCGTAAACGGGCGCCGCACAAGCACGAAGGGATTACGTCAGTTTCGAGTTATCACGCCCAGGTGGTGTGTTATTCGATGATTGGAGTTGTCTCAGAAAGAAGGAAGGCCCGCGGTAAGCAGCCTCGTGCCTATCACCCATCTGTTCGGCATCAGATTGTGACATCGCATTGATTTTCGATGTACTGTCGGTTCGATTCAGTTGACTATTGTTGGTTTCTCATCCTATTGTTTACAAATATTCGACAATATTTTAACATAATGTTTTTATGCATGTCACTGCAATATATGTGTATCTGTTGTCGCTATCTGTAAGGTAAGAAGCCTATCTATTCACTGGATGCTGGCTATACTATACTAAATATTAACCTATGACTTGACTAGCAACACTTAGAAAGTCGTTAAGCGGCAGTAAGTTGTTTTATGACAACTCTTAGAATGTTCACTACTGCTACTTGAACGTCGAGCGGTGGTTAACGCCTGTTAACCACCAGTTGACGTTTGTACCGTTAGAGGAGGAATCAACTTTGGTAGATATCGCGAACACTTTCGTTTGTAATGTCGAACCTGCGGCGACTTTTATTTAGGCCAGTTTCGTGGATTTGTTTGTTTAGTTGAGGTGCATTGCGTAAAATGGACAATTTCGACAGCAAGGATTCTCGTATACTAGCCAATCTCGTTCTATCTATTTTTTCACAGTCACCAATTTTATGCTACAAAGTTGAATTTTAATACCACTATTCATAGATTTTCATTAATAATTCTTAAATGATATGATGACCTATTCGGTTCTTTTGGATGTAATTTTGAGCCTTTTTGACCAATTGAATATCTTTTTTTGAATTGTTTATTTTGAGATCGAGGCCTAGCATGGGTTGACGTTTCGCCAAAATAGGTGGAAACGACAATACGCTTTACGTTATGGGCTCTGTGTGTGAGTCTGTTGTCAGTTGTCACACTACCGATATTTTGAACCTGATGAAAACAGTAAAATCACTTTTTTTTTTGCGTCGAACCCACGGGTCGTAAAACAAATTACAGCACTGGAAAGTCACTGGATGTACGTAAAAAGTCTCTAAATGTAATTCAAACTTTATTTGAAATAAGATTGAGAAACGAACTGAATACCACATTTAGCGAATTTGATTGGGTATTTAAAAAACGTACCCGTAACTTTCTCATGTAGGCCACGTAAAGTTAAAGTATTTCCTCTTGAATTATTTGTTACCTTGGTAAATCATATTCTAGATATCTATGCGAGTGATGAACTTGGCGGTGACACGTATGGTTGGGATGCACTCGCAGTTGTGTTGGTGGGCCATGTTTTCTATGTAAACCCATCATGGTTATTGTTACTTTAGTTCATTCGTCATGTAGCGAACACTGCGTCGGTGGTGTTGTATGTGCCGTTCTGGCCAGATACTCAATAAATGCGTGAACTAGCACCTTTACTTCAGACACGGCCTTTTGTTATTCTCCATGCGTTTGAAACATTCCTATTGAATGTATATACGGCGGTTGGACACCCTCCATGGTCGCATAATTTGTTGGTGTATATCAATGGGGGTATTCAAGATTTTTAGAATGTTCTCCCTCAATCGTTTTGGGTGGTGGTGGGTCGTACAATTTCACATGCGATTAGGTACCTGGATGATTATCGCACGATGCTTTTTTTTTGCATCGATGGCGGCCTCGCATATTGAGATACCAGGGCGTGATGGTAGTGAAGCGGAGCAAGTGTTGGATGATGCAATATACGAAGCTCGGACCGTTGAGGATTGGGAGCTGGACATGAAGGCGTTGGCGCAGGACACTGGTGATAATCAGGAGTCGCGGTCAAGGGAATTCAATCGTTCTTGGAAGTGGAAATCGGCGAATCGTAGACATGGATGAACCATCCCAGGAAACGAAGGTCTGTTTCCGTAAACGTGATTATGAATACACTATGAGTGATCAAAAACAAGATGATTGTCTTAACGAGCGCATACCGTCTTTTGAGGATTGCATGAGTGACCGTGAAGTGGGTAATTTAGGTGATTGTGTGCCACTGCCAAGTGCTGAACCGGAACATGCGAGTATCGATAGTAAGCCAGTGTAATGGGTATCTCTCGATACGCATCAGTTATCTACGCTCGAGCAATATGCCATGATTTGGAGCAAGGTTGTACAAATTTGATCTCGTTATCGTCATGTGCGAATATTCAGGAACTACCACTTGTCACGGGTGATTTGGTTTACCATGCAAGTCTTGGGCCCGAGAGTTGAGTAAATTACTTAACTGACTCCCAAGAGTTGATTAAGGAGATTTAGCTACAGAGAAGTTGAAATAGAATAGCATCGCGGTGTTAACGTGTTCTGCAGAAGGTATCTCATACTGTCCATATGAGTCTTTACTCTGGCCTGCCCAAACGGCTGAACACTAGCACAAACACTTTAGGTATAAACCCAAGGTGAGGTCAGAAATAAAGACTAAATTAGCACTTTATTTAAAGTCTACTGCATTACACTAACAGAAATATTCACAACTGGTATCTTGTATCTTTCCCCATGATATCTATCCCCTGATCCATGTTCGCTGTATCCATCACTAGAGCGATTTTTATCCGTGTCATAAGATCGCCCACAAGAAGAGTTTCAGGTCTAGGCATATACATCATCTCATGTTCAGCGGGCAAGACCGTACCCTCACCTTTAACAGTCACATACACCTTGTATGGCAAGCCAGAGAGTCATCTGATTCACTCTGAAGAAAACCTCCACAAGTAGGATGTCGTTGTAGAAATGAAGTGCGTCTAAATGCACTTTTGAACGGCACTCTACGTACGGCGATACGGTGCCGCCAATGATTTTTTTGGTAAGTCGTTGTAAAAGTTTTGTGAGCTTTGTATAATACAGCTAAAATGAACCCTTATAGGATCGCATACGAGCTAAACATTTATATATCCCTTTGAACTTCTGCTGATAAACATTGTTAGTCCAAATCTCATTCACGTTTCACAAGGAACCCAGACATTGAGATTAATATAGTATAAGGCATTCTGCAGTGTTCTATTGTTTGTATCTCACATTATTGGCTGGGCAACTAGCACTGATATTTCACAGTTCTTATTTTTGTCGCATAAAATTGGCTGGGCAATTGGTCCAAAATGTGTTCAAAGGTATGAGACATGGTAGCTAATCGGAACAGCCTAATAGGTAGTCGGTAGTAAGATAACTCGTTGGTGGACGTCACGTTTGCAGGGGAACCATCTGTGGGCAAAGGGACTGTTGATTTTGCGTGTATTAATGAACAACAGCAACTAGTCATATTTGTGTATTAGCACAATCTGGAGACTGGCAGACACCAGCAGATCCCTCGGTCCTTAGCAGCTGGGATACCAATGGCGATTGGACAGACATGGCTCATCAACTTTGTGGTGTGCTTGTACCCGAACTCTTCGCGAGTCATGAGGACCACCGTTTTAAGATTTACTGTACCAAAGAAGGTACAGGTGCATGCGGACAAGATTTATACGTGGTGGACATCCGACACAGATTGTGTTAAATGAACCACCAATGGAATGGTATGTAACCGTTCCGGTTCACACGTATTCATGGCAGTGAATTTGTCACGAAGTCTGCTGTGCGCCATTCTGGCCCAATACATATAAACTATACCCCAAACCACATCTCATTGGTCACCAGTCGCTTTTTCATGTATCCCTCTCCTTCTGGCACCGCGTGGGCCCTACTACGACCACTAGACCGCTTTTTCAGATCGATTCCAAACCTCTTTCGCGCGTTGCCACGACTACGGGTCCTACGACGGTTGTTCCAGCTACTCAGTTGGGACTAATTGCCCAACTGTACCACAGCACTATACGCGGAACTACAACAACGGGAGTGTTTGAGGAAGAAGTTCCACATACCTGGCGAAGGGCTGTCCCGGACATACAACCGGTATTGTACCTTTCGGGCTGAACAATTGCCTCCTGCGGGTGATAACTGGCAGCTTGATGACACTACAACGCTGATTGATTCGCAGGTTGCTTACACTCCTGTTGCTTTGTATACAAATCCTATGGTTAGGCTACCGCACCCAATGTTGCAATACCACTACTGGCTTCAGGTTTAAAGGATTTTTTTTCTATATCTTTTCCCTAATTAATATAAATGGGAAAAGAGGGTGATTTTTGTACTATAAAATTCAATTGAAATACAAATTTGGGTCAAAATTAGGACCGAGTCAGCTATGAAAATGTTTATCCATCATAGAGGAGAAATACTTTCGGTCGCTTGGGATATACCCAGGCGAACGGTAATACCATTGTGTGTTATTTATATCAAAATATTATCTATATTTGGTCAGGATTGCTCGTTGTCTGGATCTCGTTCGCTTGCTGCACATGCCGTCGAGGTACAATAGCAGCGCATGTCCACACAGTCGGGCCAAATCCAAAAACTACATACACTCATAACAAGCGAGGGTCGCTTGTTCTGGATTGTCTTGTAAACTGCGAGATTTTGTTGGCATTTGTCGAGATGATGATAGTATTGAAAGTAAGCATATCGACGACAACATAATTTCGAATACATAGTAAAACTATAATCGACGACTTGGACGTATTACTCTCAATGGAGCGAACATAAAAAGCCTTATTGTGCATTAAATAGGCACAACTGCGCCAACTACATGGGCGCACAACTATAGATATCGCAAACAGCACCATAAGAAGGGTAGGTAATATAGACGAGAATCTTCTAATGTAGTCTCGAAAGCAATAAATAAGGATGTACTCCTTTATTCTATAAACTAAAACTATATCCAACTGGAAACGGCGTGCTTCGCTTTTAGTCCACCGCGACTGAGGCCTTCAGGCCTTGTCGTTTCTGCGCGATGCTCTTCAGATAGAACTCGCCCGCTTTGTAGGACGACCTTACTAATGGACCTGTGTTGGATATACATACCGCTAAATAAGATAAGGAGCTCGCCATATAATAACCTGCACTATTTGATCGAATACGCGAAAGGACTATACCAGAAGTCTCGATTGCTACGTCCATACCAAATATAAACCTAGATCCAAGAAATTTTAAATCGAAAATGAACACTCTATCGATAAAGATAGACACCAATGACAAACTACATACCAGACGCCGTATAGAGGAAACCGAGCTCATCTCCTTTCTTGCCCCAGTAGTCGAATTTCTCCGGGGTGACATATTCCTTGACCTTCATGTGTTTCTTAGTGGGCTGCATGTACTGGCCGAAAGTCACTGCGTCCACGTCAATGGCTCTGAGGAGACGGGAATAGGATTGGCGAATAATACTCGGTGAAGTGTATATGGACGGTGAGTTTTGCATTTGATTGGAATCCCTGTGCATGCGTGGTAAAAACAACAACTACGTATATATCCCAAGATATAGAGCTACTAAACAAATTAGGCATCCGACAAGTACCAGATAGCATCCGAAGTTCGCAGCTCGCATTGGCAACCAAAAACTGCTCAATTCTAGATCTAGATTCGTGCGCGTATACATTATAAAACGGAATAGTTATTGATGGGACATACCCGTATATACAAATTTGCACTGAACACCCGCGCACAAAACCATGACACACACAAATTACGCCAACCAGGTCTTGCTCAATGGAAAGCCTACAACAGCCGTAGGGGGCAGCACTATTTACATGAACCGATGTAAACATCACTACATGGATGTATGAAACGAACACTTCATTTGTTTAAGTGGGCAATATAATAACATACCTTAGATCCTTGAGCGTCTGTAGCACTTCTTCGTCTGTCTCGCCCAGGCCTAGCATGATGCTGGTCTTAGTGACGAGCCGGGGATTGTTCTTCTTGACACTATGCAGAACTTCTAATGACTGGCGGTACTTTGCGCGCCTATCTCGCACTCGTGGCGTCAGTCGCTGTGGAAACATTATGATCATACTATTAGCACAATCATTATATATAAATATATATATACATATATACATATACATAGACATACTTACATAGATACATACACACACACACACACACACACATATATATATATATGTACCCGGCAGCTAACCAATCTAAACATTAAATATTGGTGACAAACCATGTGCGCAAGAATATCACAGTCGCTGACACTACACCTTCGTGCGTGTACGTACATATCTGAACTTTAAACTCATACCTCGATAGTTTCTATGTTGTGCGCGTACACATCCAGGCCTGAGCTGGCCACGTTGTGCACATGCTCGAGGTTGCCCTGGAAGTCAGGAGTTAAACACTCGACCAAAATGTTCGGTACACTCCTTTTTAGTTCTTTTACCACCTCCGCAAAGTGCACGGACCCTCCATCGGGCAGATCTGGTATGCGACGGAGAATTAGTGAGTATGTACCATGAGCATGTAACTAAACAATGGGGTAGACGTAAAATCAATAATAAATAATACTGCATATCACTGTGCTTAGTTGCTTTGCTAGAATCCGAATATGTACGTTGTAAGTCATAGGTATGCGTGGGTACAAGGGCGAGTGGAACAGCAGCCAGCGGTAAGCTAGAAACAAGGTTGTATGAGTGCTGACATTCTCAATATATATATATATGTGCTTTATATGAATACGAAGACAAATGCCTACCTCTTCCTTGCGCACACAAAGCTCGGTATGACACAACACGCTATTCCGCGATTACACTGTGCTATTGTGATACGTGTAAAATAGTACGACACGAACATCGAGGAAAAACATCCGTGAAGATGGGCCACACCTGTGTTTCCCCATACAATGCAGATGAGTATCAATACAAAAGACCAACACACACACTCTTAATATATATATATATATATATTATATACGTCCCTGCTCCTTGCGCGTGCGTGTGAGCGCATCCCCCAGTACACTATGCACCCAGGCCCAGGTGGACGAGCTCACATACCATCTCGGTCAACAGAAGTCAGTACAATGTAATCCAATCCCCATCCCTTCACAGTCTCGGCTGTGTTTAAGGGCTCGAGAGGGTCCAGCGCAGCGGGGGCTTGTGAAGTCTAAGTAATGAGCGAGTGACGAAGGTTATGAGACTCGGTGATTTGTGATAATTTGCTATACTTTGCACCCGAGAAAAACAAAAAAAAACAAAAACAAAAACAGAGACAACGTGACATGTAGACAGACTGGCGAATGTATAAAGTATGGTATGGTCGATGTTTACTACTGACGAACATATGCATGATAGTGTACACACTCAGAACCAGTATGCCGTATACACCACGTGGTGATAGGCTTTTTAGGGGTTTAGACACGAACACAAATCCGATGGGATGCAAAGCCTGCTCCTATAGTGTGTGTGTGTTTGGTTTATCGGGTGAGTTCTTGCCATTCGTTACTAAGATCATACATACCTTAATTCTTGAGTTCATATGAATGACAAACTGTGCGTACACTTCTCGCATTTGTTTGCCGCGGACAAAACCGCGCGTCCGCCACGGCAATTGTATGATAGACCTAGAATATAGCTTCACGACACCCACACGCATTTACACATGCACATATATACATACACACACACGCTCGTATATTTATATATATATATATATATACATATGGATATATATATATGTATATATATATATAAATATACAAAAATGAATATATGGCGAGATATATATATATACATATATAGATAGATATACCTTTACTGAACAGAACCGGCAGCCTCTCGTACACGTGTCGCCCATGATCATGATGGTGGCAGTGGCCGTTCCTTTACCACCACCCCAACACTCTCCGATGTTCGGACATCTAGCTTCCTCACAAACGGTTGCCAGCTTGCCTGTACGCAGCTTCTTCTTAATGCTGTCGAAAGACTGCCCGGTAGGTATCTCCGTCTTGAGCCACTTCGGAAGTCGCTCTCTGGATTGCGTGGTACAGAATGAGTCACGCATGAGAAGTGTGGTCTGTGTGAGGTTGAGCGTAAAACGTACATAGCGGCCGTTGTAGGCAAACCGAAAGCACACGCTTGTCTAAAACTTGCATGTATGTGAACTGATAAAAATTCCATATAGAGCTGTGACAAGGAAACTTATGATGTAGTCAGCGTGTACGCGAGGTGCACGTAGATACAAGAACATACACGACTGAATGCATAGATACCACACAGGTCGATGTATGTGTATACGAACAGTGCTATATATGTAAACACACACACACACACACATATATAAATATATATGTACATATATATATATATATATATATATATATACTATAATTACATACATACATACATACATATATAAAAATATATATAATATATGTATTTTTGTATTTATATATATATGTATATATATATATATATATATATATACATACATATATATATATATATATATATATATATATATATATATAAACATATATACATATATACATACGTCATACATACAAACATAAATAAAACATACATATATACATACAAACACATATACACAAACACACACACAAACACACACACACATATATATATCCATGTATAAATATAAATACAAATTTTAAAATGCACACAAACGCATTTATATATATATATATATATACATATACGAATATTTACATACGTATACACGCACTA